GTTGGCTTTGGGTTGGGTTGGGTTTGGATTGGGGTGGCTTTGGGTTGAGTTGGGTTTGGGTTGGGTTGGGTTTGGGTTGGGCTTTGCATTGCATTGAGTTGGCTTTGGGTTGGGTTGGGTTTGGGTTGGGCTTTGCATTGCATTGGGTTGGGTTTGGGTTGGGTTGGGTTTGGGTTGAGTTGGCTTTGGGTTGGGTTGGCTTTGGGTTGGTTGGTATAGATGTGACCATGGCAGGATGGGCTCAGGTCTTGCTGTCCTGTTCTGTGCCCAAAGAAGGGACCACCACCACAGCCATCCCCCTGAGTCTCCCTCTCCCCCCAGGATGACCCCGGCGCACCCCACAAGCTGCAGGACCCGCTGAAGTCTGGCCTGAAGGACGAGGAGCCGCTCAGCATCCTCAGCGCCGCGCCGGAGGAGGGCAGCAAGGGCGAGCCAGGGGGCTGTGGGGTGCCCTGCCTGCACAACAACCTGGGGTAGGGCGGGGGGAGACACATTTGGGTGGCATTTGTACAGAGGGTCCCATTCGTGGCTGCGCCGTGTCGTCGGGTGTTCGCTTTGTGCTCTGTGTCTATTGCTTGGGTTTGTTCTGCGCTGTGATTTCTAAACCTTTGCTGTTCCGCCACTGACTTTTTTTGTACTTTTACCCCCTCAACACTTTTTTTGAAATACGAGTGAAAACAACAACAAAAAAAATGAAAGATCTTGAAATAAAACCTTTTTTTTTTTTTTAAGTTAAGCCTCTTGCCAGTGCCTGCACTCTCCCTGTCCGTCAGCCCCAGCCCCAAATGGCAAGGTGTCACCCGGCCCCTCCCTGTCCCCGTGTGGCCATGTACACCCCAGCTCTGCCAGGTGCCCCACTGGAGCCATGGGACAGTGAGGACATCGGTCAATGCCTGGGCTCTGTCCCCATCCTCATCTCTGTTCCCATCCCCACCCCATTCCTCATCCTTGTCCCTGTCCCATCCCTGTCCCCATCCCAATCCCTGTCCCCATCCCCATCCTTGTGCCCATCTCTGTCCCCATCCCAATCCCTGTCCCAACCCCATCCGCATCCCATCCCAGCGCAGGGTCCCCCTGTGAGATGTGGCTCATGGTGCTGTGCCCATCACCCCCACCACGCTCTCAGTCCCTGCCCTGAGTGCCAGCGCTGTCACCACTGTCTGTCCCCACCTGCTTGCAGGATGCTGGAGGGGATGGCAGCCTTATGTCCCCAGCAGGAATTCACTCCCCAGGCAGCTCAGACCTACAGGGAATCCCATTTTCCAAGCACACTGCAGCTCCCAGCAGTGCCTTCACTTCGGAAATTCCTTTGGTGGCACTGATGGGACCTCAGGAGAGAGGAAACAAAGCAATTAATCACACACCCCCGTTTCCCTCACGGAGCCCCAACTTCCCCTCCCCATCTCATACCCCAGAACCCCATCTCACTTGGGGCTCTGCATCCCTCGTTGTGCCTCAGTTTCCCTCGTGCTGTCAGCTCTGCACTTGCTGGAGAACGGAGGAGCAAGGTGATGTCCCCCCAGAGCAGGGACAGCCCCAGGCTCCGTCTGATTTCGTGGCTCCACGGAGGAATTTGCCTCCTCTCACACGCAGAGCCTCACTCAAATTGCCTTTATACAGAGGGGCGGGGGACGGCTATTAGATGAAATGCTTGGTTGGCTGGCGGGGAGGGGAGCAGCCCTGGCGCAGAGGATTGGCACGGGCACCGTGTTTGTCCTCGTCCCTCTGCTGTCCCATTTTCTCCTGTGGACACGTACTGGGATGGGAGTTTGTCCCCAGGACAAGGACCCTTTCTTCTCTTGGGCTGCCTGAGACAAAGCAGCCCTAGTGACGTCCAGGGTAAGGAGGTCGCGCACGTGGAGCCGATCCCAAAGCCAACTCCTCTCATCAGACTCATTTCTGGTCTGATTTCTGGGTGGTTCCTTTTGGAGTCAGGACTCGATGATCTCCACGGGTCTCTTCCAACTCGGGAATTGTGATTCTATGATTCTGCCCCTGGGAGCTGTGGGACCTCATCCACCTCCACGCAGCTCCCAGTGACACTAAGACACAGTGTGTCCCATACAGTCCTCCTGCCTCCCACCAAGGCTGGGCCAGATCTTGGCTTGCAGGGTGCAATGGGAGCCCCAGGCGGTGCTGCAGAGCGTGGAATGTCAGCATGGGGGGAAATGGCACCGCTTCCCCCACTGCTCTCAGCCTCAGCGCAGCAGGAGCAGGCCCAGTATTACACTGAACCTGCAGCGGGTTTAGAGAGAGGAGAAAGGCAAAATCCTCTTAGCTGGGTGAACTGTACAACGCTCAGCATGGGGAAGAACAGCTGTGCGTGTGTTTGTGGATGCCGGCTGGCTCTCGCGATGGCTCCACCACAGCAGCCCAGTTCTTGGTGCGTTCTGTGCTGCCGGGGCTGCTGTTGGTCCTGGTCTTACCGGGACTGGTGCTGGTGGCACTGATGCTGGTCCTGGTTCTGCTGGGACAGGGGCAGAACGGAGACAAAGTCAGAAGACGGAGGGGGCTGAAGGTGGGAGGTGGGAGCACCACGGCCGTGGCCGACACAGAGAGGTAATGGAGGACGAGGACCCCAGGAAGGCGGGCTGAGAAACGCAGAGGAATGCTGTGAAAGCTGTGATGGGAGGCATGGCTAAAGGTGAAGGGAAGAAGGAAACTGGCAGCTCTTCAAAGAAGCGATGTGAACGGCACCGCTACAAGAGATCCCAAAAGGAAGCGCTGTGGGAAGCAGCTTGGCTACACCACAAGCTCTGTGCTGAGCTGCAGCTTGAAAAAAAGGTTTAGAGAAAGTGGGAACTGGGTCAGATTACCAGGGACGGCTATGGGAGAGCACAGGCATGAGGGGGGATCAGAAGGGCCACGGAAAACTGAGATGGAAATAGTGAGCAGCACTGGGGGAGGAGCAGGGGACGGCGTGTTGGCGTGGTGGGGAAGGACGGCTGCCACAAAAGGGCCCCAGCATTTCAGGTTCCCAGTGTATTAAAAAGAAAAGTCTTTTGAAAATGTCTGCTTTGCACTTTGCACCTGCCTTTGTGCTTCTTTTTCTCCCCCTCGTTTCTCGATCCATGCTCTCAGTTCTCGATACGACGTTCTCTGAGCGTTGCTCAGTCTGCTGCCTCCTATTCTCCGTTATTGCATTAATTAGAAGCCATTTTGCAGAAGCACCTTCGAGGGAAGATCTCCTTTCTGTAGGTGCGACAAAAATGCAGCACGGCAACACGGCTCTCGCTTCAGAGAGCTCACGATTTAACTGCAAGGCAAGAGACGGCAGATGGAGGCAATCTGTTGGGGAGAGGAGCACAAAGAGGCAGAGAGGATCCCGGCTGGCGCGGCGGGCAGCGGCTCAGCGCACCAGTAGTGCTGGGTGCTCAGAGAGAGGGAAACTGGGCATTTTGGGGAGGACTGGGGAGAAGAGGAGGAAATTCTGCTCCTGCTTCTGAGGGGTGAAGCAGGACTGGAGATTCAGGGCAAGAGAGGTGGAATTCTTAAGGGTAGATGTGGCACTGAGGGACGTGGAGGGTGGACATGGTGGGGACGGGTTGGGGTTGGACTGGTGAGCTCAGAGGTCTCTTCTGACCTTTTTGGTGATTCTATAAATAGGAGGGGACAGAGAAATGGAGACATGGGAGAGATCCGTCAGCAACGGGGGAAGGTGAAGGGCAAGAAGGGAGGAAAAGGGAGAACCAGGTGCTGGCATAGATGCCCAGGGATGGGGGTCACCATCCTGGGGTGTTCCAGAGCCGTGGGGGACGTGGGCAGTGGGTGTCTGGGAGGACTTCTCCAACCTGAATGGTTCTGTTTCGATGATTCTATGACAAGAAGGGAGGATGAGGAGGAGGAGCTGCAGGGAGGAAGGCAGCATGGGGCAACGTGAGGAAAGGAGCTGGGCGAGGCTAAGGAGAGGTGTGAAGGAGAAGGATGAAGGTGGATGCGAAGGGCAGAGAGCCCAGCTGGAGCAGCGTGCTCAGAGAGCCTCAGGGATGGGACTGGGTGCTTTTCCCTGCCTGCGATGCTCAGTGCCGGGAGCTGCTGCTCCCCCTTTGCTCACAGCAGCGCTCACATCGCGGCAGCTCCCGCTGGGGTGGTTTTGCTGCCACATCCCCGCCGCTTTCGGCGCGGCTCCTGGGGATCTTCAGTCTCTGCTGGAAAAGGGCCTCCTGGAGAGCCAGCAGGCAGCTTGCTTCCAAACAGCAACGTGAATTGTAAAGGTGACCTGAAAATTGAATCAAAACAATATATCCTTTTGCTCGCTTTATGAATGCAGTATATTCTTCCTCACGGCCACAGGAAGTCACAAACAAGTCACGGTTAAAAGTAGCAAGGGATGCGCGGCTCTGACATGAGCAGAGGGGGCTGAGGGGCTGGGAGGGACGCCCAGCAGGGCTGTGGTGCTGCAGCATCCTGGGAGCAGGGCGGGCCGGCGTCTGCCAGCAGGGGTTCGGGTGAGCTGATCCCTCCTGGCAGCAGGTGCTGCACGACCTCGCCGTGTCCCTGCAGCCTGGTGCTCGGCTGATCAGAAATGTCAGCCCTTCCCCTCCGTCCTCACCAGCTCTCTTGCTCTCGGCCGGGGGCACAGTTCTGTGGCATTTCCTCCTACATCTGCTGTGTGTGCGCAGAGGGAGAGACGTGTAAATGTGCAGATGAACAGGCAGACAGGAAGATTTCTGTAAAAGAAGGAATAACGATCTCTGCCTTTCCTATTAACTGTCTGTGTTTACCACGACCGCCCCAGGGAGCGGCTGTGCAAATCCCTGCAGGACTTGGCTTCACCCGCAGCGCTTTTCCCACTTGCTGCTGAGCTGAAGGCACTGGGAAGGTGCAGGTGTGCTGCTGCTGCTTCCCCACGTCTGTCTCTGCATTTCAGACCCAGCTCTGAGGCAGACAGCGAGGTCCTGTGCCCCATTTCCAGCTGGCGCTGCGGAGAGGCGAGCCCAGCAGTGATGCATTGCACTGGGAGCTGGCTGCAGCCGGCTCTGTGATTCCTGCTCATTTGCAAGCTGGAACACTCACATCGAGAATTCACGCCGTGCTGATGTGACAAGGAGCAGCCGGTTTGCCGGCAGTTTTCCCCATTTTTTTCCTACAGGGGTGAGGATGGGCGCGTGGGGCAGCATTTCCGCAGCAGTGGCAGCACCCCATCACGGTGTCGGCTCACCGCATTGCTTCGGAGCAAGCCAGCACCTGGCTCCGCTCATCCATTATTCCTCCAGCTGCTTTTGGCCGTGTCGGGAGGGCTGACCTCCCCCCAGCTCAGGGGACGTTCTGCCTTTCCTTTTGTCGCCCCACCATTGAGCCAGCCCGACAGCTGCTCTCTCATTAACCTCTCCTGGCCTCGCAGCACTAATGATCTTTTGTGGCTCAAAGCGTTACTAACGCCTTTAGCATCCTACCGGTGGCCACGGCGCTATCTGCAGGCATGGGAACGCTCGCACCCCGGTTCGACTGCAGTCCAAAGGGACGGGGACATCCCGGCTGGTGGCACTGTGGGCAGTTTGCTGCAGCAGCCACAATCGAGGGAGGTAAATCAAAGCGCCTCTCCCCAAAGGTGGTTTTCCACTCACACCAAGAAGCTCACTGCTTTTAGTTATCCTTCCTAGCCACACTCTTGGGAATCACCTCAAACACTGCAAGATTGATTGTTTTATTTAGTTGGGGGTTGTTTTTTTTTCCTGCTGTTGGTCACAAATTGCTTTTTTGCTGGTGGTCTCACGCAGCACACAGCTCAATTGTCAGCAGCATTGTTACCTATGGATGCCATATGGCTCCTCTGCGCTCCACTCACAAGGTCTGCTGCATTTTAAGTGCTGCAGATAAGCGCGGAGCAGACGGGAGGGAAGGGGCAGCAGTTCCAACGGCGAAATCCTCGCTGCCTTTGCGCGGTCATGGAATGTGCGAAGGAATACATTAAGAAGGACAAGAGGTGTTTTGAGAGACACAGCTGCACTTTGCATGCGTCTCTGCTCCTCTTCCCTCTGCAAAGAGAAAAAGATGAGATTTTACATTTCGTTCACATGGCACCGAGGGTTCTTCAGCTCCCGAAGGGAAGTGCTGCGGGGAGAGAAACCGAGACCAGACCAGGTTCTCAGCTCTGTGAAAGGGTTGGAAAATGAAAGCAAAGAGATGGAAGGTTTCAGCTCAAGCTTTTCCTGAAGCAGAGCCATTGGAGGGAAGGGAGAAAGCACTTTCCCAGCTCGGTCACTGGGTGGGAGGCAGGAGGCAGGGGCTGATGCAGCAGGGAGGGATTGCAGGCGGATATCTGGGGCTCTGGGCTCACCCGGTGCATGCCAACATTTTACAGATACTGCATGTGTGAACACTGGAAATAAAGAACAGAGAACAGCTGCAGTGATTCAGTCAGACCTCTGTCAGCCCACCCTCTCACTGCAGCAAATATCCACATCAGAAGATGGGAGAAGCCTGCAGCTAAGGCTGCTCGTGGTCCCAAATCTCCTTTCCTACGCCCCAAAAATGTGCATCTCAGGCACCCCCTGAGCTGGTGACAGCCCTCAGAACACCTCTCTTCCACGGATCCGTTCCCTTCTCCCATCAATCACCCCTCTGAGCCCCTCATAAGCTTTCAATGGGGACAATCTGTGTTTTTTTGAGCACTGTGCTGCGCCGTGTGTTCCCTCACTGCCGTGCAGCATCGCCCATTTATCAGCATCGTTGGATGCCCCCTAATGCTCACAGCAGATGAGGCAGCACGGGGCACACGCTGGGCCTGCACACCTCCCTCAGCCTGCAGTCCTCACTTACAACACAATAAAGTTACAAAAGCAAAGGCAAGGGAATACCATGGAAAAGTGCTGAAAAAAAATGCAAATTCAGGCAAAAAACAGCTCCACGCAGTTCAGATGTTCATGCTTGCTGGCTGTAAATTAGCTCTTACCACTCAGCAAAGCAGGGAGCTGCCACTGCTCTGTCTTTGAGAGCCAAATGACAGCTCAGCAGCGCCTGGATGTGATGGTAAGCTGGCCAGAAACATTAAGAAAATCAGAGAGCCTTCCCCAAAAAGGCAGCGTGCCACAAAACACCATGAGTGGTGACCACGAGGGTGCTGGTCCACGGCACAGGGTGCTGCTCCATGGTGTGGGATGTTGGTCCATGGCACAGGGAGATGCTCCACGGTGCAGTGTGTTGGTCCATGGCATGGCATGCTGCTTTATGCTGTGGGGTGCTGCTCTTCTGCACAGGGTGCTGCTCCATGACATGGGATGCTGGTCCACAGCACAGGGTGCTGCCCTATGACACAGGGCGCTGCCCCATGGTGTGAGGCACTGGTCCATGGCATGGGGTGCTGCTCCACGGTGTGGGCTGCTGCTATGTTGTAAGGTGCTGCTCTATGGCACAGGGTGCTG